TCCTTATTTGTAAAAATATATTTATGGTTCTCGAATAATTTTTAAATTGTTGTGAGGGACAGGATTGGCTCTTCCAGGGGTGGAGCCACATGTGGCTCGCAAGCCGCAGTTTGCCAACCCCTGACCTAAATGCACAGAAACAATGGATAGGACTGGCTTGAGGCAAAGATAAGCCTTTTAGTAAAGAAATTATATGTTTGGGGCATGACTACCCACCATGACCTGCTCAGTTAGGCATTTATGATCAGAAGGTACCTTCTGTAGAATCCCTTTTTTTCATTCACAGTGGACAGTCTCCACAGCTGGGGTCCACAGAGTGGGGGTTGGGGGCAGGGCATGGTGTCTGCGAACCTCCTGAGAGTAGGTGCCAAAAGGTGTGAGAGTACACGGTTTTCTGGGAGAGAGTCCATAGCTGTTATCAGTTTCACAGAAACATGATCCAAAAAAGGGTTAAGAACTATGAAATAAAAACTCATGTATGCTCCACATGATTTGATGTCAGGTGAAAACCCCAAAAGAGTGGCTAACCCATTTCATATCAAAGGGTCTGCTGCATGGATAGTTTTAAGTCCAGTATCCCCAGCAGGACTGGGCTTGTCTTGAAAAAATTGCTTTGGAAAAAAAAAAGAATAAAGAAATAAATGGTGATTTCTATGTTAAAAAGAGCCTTCATCTCTCAAAAGTAATAAGCTATTCAACTGTTTTGGAATAAGAAAGGAATAAGCAGTTAATTTATTGAAAAACGTCATAGTCCAAAGTATTTTTAAAGCCTGAATTGCCTCTTCCTTTGATTTCGTAATGCAATGGGAAATTAATCTTTATTTCAAAATGAACTTTGACAATAGAAGAGAAAAATTATTTCCATGTTCACAGAGAATGAAGGATGCTGGAAAGCAAATACAATTATTTTTTATTCTTCTAGTTTTTAACACATAGTTTGGGCAATCAATTCCTCTTCATATACATATTTTAGGACTGGTGTTAATTTATTTGATATAATACTTAGTATCCCCCCTTTTTTATTTACTGTACTATATATCCCTGTGACTTTTTTTTTTAACTATAGTTGATATTCAATATTATTGTATATTATTTTCAGGTGTACAGCACAGGGGTTAGACATTTATATAATTTATGAAGTGATCCCCCCGATAAGTCTAGTACTCATTGGACACCATACATAGTTTTTATGATATTATTGACTATTCCCATACTGCACCATTACATCCCCATGACTCTCTTGAAACTACCAATTTGTTCTTCTTAATCCCTTCACATTTCTCACCCAGGCCCCCAACCCCTCTCCCATCTGACACCCATCAGTTTGTTCTCTGTATCAAGGGCCTGTTTCTTTTGTTTGTTTATTGTGTTCTTTAGATTCCGCATATAAGTGAGACCCTATGGTATTTGTCTTTCTCAGTCTGACTTATTTCACTTAGCTTAATACCCTGTAGGTCCATCCATGTTGTTGCAATAGGATTCTTTTTTTTTTTTTTTTAAAGATTTTTTTTTAATTGGGGAATTGTGGGGATAGGAACAGCGCTGGGGAATTGGGGGAAGGGAAACAGACAAGTTACTGTCCTTTCGTTCTTCAGTCTGGTTGTGGAGGATGTTGCTTTACTGGCCCAAGTTGGCACCATCATTGCGCTCTTCCCAGGNTAGTCAATCACTTCTAGCGAATGGCCTGGCTTCGGGGCTAGTTTTTCTCTTTGCCTTTGGTCCTTCAAAAGCCTGTGGTTCTGGGTAGTCCTGTCCCTCGGAAGTGCACTGCACTGACCAGACAGCTGCCCCCTGTCCCCTCTATGACCTTGCCCACCACAAATGGGAAAACAAAGCTGCTTGGGAGCGACCCCATTGAAATGTCAATGTGAAGACAACGTGAGGTTCATTCCGGGATATGCACAAAATAGGAAATGAAGTTGGACAAAGCACAGATGTTCTTAAGTTGTTTTTCTATACTCTTTCTTTCTTTTCCTCTACCATGCTGAAGGCTGAAAGACAGGAAGATGGTTGCCTACAGCAAATATTATTTTTAATAGAAAAATGAAATGCATATTTTTCTTACTAATATTTTTTATTTATTCCTTGCTAAAGAAATGGTTTCCTGAGATTTTAAGGTGTTTCTGATGGTGTCTTGAGTGAGTGGACGAGGGGCTGCAGCCATTTTGCAGTGGAATTTCACTAGTGGGCATACCTAACAGAGACCGCTTCTTTCATTCACCTCAGTGACACAGCTGCAGGGACACTGAGGGGAGTTGTATTAAATAAATTTGATTTTTACTCTTCACAGACCTGTGACATGTCATCTTCCGAGAGGCCATATGCATATAGGATATCTGTAGGGCTCAAGGTCTCCGCAGGCCTGCTGAAGTCACAGAGTGAAGTCACAGGTCTCATCAGCTGGCCGAGAGCCTCTATATCCTTCATTGAAGTCAGGGCCAGAGGTAGCCTGAGTCTCAGACACTGAGTCATTCATATC